TTGACGATTATGTAACGTGTCGTGACTTCGTGGGTGATTAGGATGTCGGCTGGAAAACCTGTTACGATTTTCCTTGAGGAAATACCGTTAAAACCAACCCAATTTGCCGGGAAAATGTCGTAGTTTTATCCACTTAAAAACCTGGAAGACATCGCTTAGTGAACATTTAATTTGGGAAGTTTTTCGCTGAACTCTGGTCTCATTTTAATGACAAGATGTGTTACTCTTAAGGGAATTCGATCATCGATAAAGGAGATCAACAGTTGAAAGATCGCAGCAACACCTGATGGCGTTTACCAGGTTTTGTATTTCCGCTCCTTATTTTAAAATCGATTTTTTCCCGTTCTGAACGGCTATGCGGTTTCATCGTAATGATGAAATAATGCAGTGGCCTGGCGTGAATTGCGATGTATCGATTGTTATGCCATTAAAGCCTATTGGAAAGAATCGATTATTAAGGTGTTCGCTGCGAACACCCTGTTTATCGATCCTTATCCATAGTTTTAAACGGCATAACAATCGATACATCGCAATTCACGCCACGCCACTGATGAAATGCGCCAGAAAACGAGCGAAAAAAGTGGAGGTTCGGCCCGCGAATGCGACTCTGCGGTTCCAGCCCGAAGTCATCAGTATCTACGCGTACATCGGAACAAGACAACACACCTGAATAATTTCAGCACTTCGAGCTGCGGAACGGATCGACGGAAAAATCCCGGATTTTCCAACGGTGCGGCGGGAAAAATGGAGGGAATCCCCGGCGGTTTGGCATCGGTGCGACCTTGGAATTATGCCGACTTGCGGCCGGCACCCGGCACCGGCATGGCATGGCACCGGCAACTTGATCACACTTTTCCGCGTTGAAAATAATTAATGGTGAATATACGCACAGCACGCGCACTTCAGCCTCGCTGCGAAGCGGGGCGCACGCATTCGATGCGGTGTCACGCTTTTGAACTTAAAATGACAAAAAAAAACCCAAAAAACTCGCACACAACGACGAACAAAAAATGTGGGTGTAGTATACGGCCGTGCTAAGGAAGAACGCCGTATGAGCCTTCAGGCGTTGCCAAATTTTCTTTGACAAAACGCGAATTTCCTAGTACATTTATGAATAGTTTTATCCCAATTTTTCAGATAATTTAGTTCACAATTTTACTTACAGATCCTGAAAACGTCAAGGAAAAATATTCGCAACTTTCCTCAAAAATGAACATTTTATCGAAGGAAATTTGGCAACTCTCGAATGTTCATACGGCGTTCTTCCTTAGCACGACAGTAAATAAGGGTTACTGAGAGGGTTACTAAGAGGTTAGGAATCTCGCACTTCCAAATACGGTCAAATGGGGCTGATAAACTTTTTCTGATAGAGTAAGGCAACCTGAAATATGAAAAGATCCGAACAACAGCTAATAATGAGGACAGGTAGCATTTTGTGACAGGTTGTAGTAATAGAATACATTCATGTCAAAGAAATTCTCTCTTAGGTCGCCTTCGAATGGGTTGATGTGGTGTCGGTATATGGCGCTACGGTTGGTATCAATTATTACCTAAACTAAATTTTGTTAACTATTCAAGATACTACTTCTAGCTCATTTGAGATACAACGAACAAGCGATGATTTCCTCTATGCAGATACGTGCTTTTACGGATGCACTTGGGATCTTAAATCAGTAGTTGCAAAATTCAATCCAATTAATCCGAAAATTGACGTTCATACGCGAAGCGAATGATTTCAGGCCGAAATGATTTCTCGAGCCATGATTTCAGGGCGTGAACATTCGGATTTCGAATGAGGTATGCTATCTAAAAAACATTTCGACTGATAATTCCGGCGATAACTATCGAAATTCGAAACTAAGCGCCACCGTGACTTCTGATCGCGTTCGGTTGCATCACGACGAAAGAAATGAAGCGGAGCGGCCAAGTCCGAAGGTCCAATTCCAATTCCAATTCACGCTTTTTGATGATTAATTCGGTTTTTTTCTCGCCTCCACTGCGTTCTTAAACTGACCTTGCATGTAATCAGCTGGTCGCAAGGCTTGTCCCATAAAATGTGCAGTTTTCAATGCTGATTGCTGCCGGAGTTTTCGCGGCTCAGCATCCAGTGCCGGCGCCGCACAGTGGAACAAGCTATCGGAGGAGGTTGGATATGAAATTCTTGACCTAAATTGCAAATTATTTCGTGAAAATTTCCATTTCGAGGGGTGTTTCTGAAAGGAAATTCCACGAAAAAACCAAGGAAACCACTTTGAAATGTCTCAGTATTATATTTTCAAAGATATAAGATTTTCATAGTTTCCAAATTTTCTTCCGACTTTTCCCATTGACTCGTTTCACCATGCGCCGCACAGTAAAGCGAACCCACGGGAAAATTCGAACTAATGTGGAAACTTTAAAAGCCCATGTCTTCGTTTATATGAAACGAAAAGTTTGAGAGTAATGCCATTGATTTTCCCACAAAATTATCCTCGAGAAGCACCCGTCAACATTTACAAATTGAATGAGGGAATCAACATCAAAATTTGGAGTTTTAGGCGAGTCGAAACTTCCATGTTCGACCCCTGCTAGCGCAGGGAAAGAGCGAGGCGCATAATACAACTATTTCAACTCTCCGGTGGCTCAAATTGCATACTCCCCGATATGAAGGAAAACTTAGTACCGCGCCAACTTTCCGGACGTAAAATGACATTGGTTGTAAACTCTATCACTTTGTAGCATGGGAAATTCTCTTCATATCCTCTTTCTGAGGCACTTCTGAGGATTTCTTTAAAATTTGCAATCTAATTCGGAAAATTCGGGTCCGACCTCTCTCAGGGCCTCGTTTCATTGCGGACTGAATGCTAAAAGTGATTGACAAAGCACTAGCGTTAGACAAAAAGGACGAATAGAAAATGGAGAGCGGATGGTTGCGATGGGCAAGTAATAGAGTAACCACCGGTAACCTACGAGGGACCTCATAGTTAATCGATTATTTCCCCCTAAGTCAATAAGAACCACACATTTTAACACATAGACTTCATTTTCCTGAGTCTTCTTTGTCTATCGCTTTGTCTATGAATTTTAATAATCAGTCCGCTGAGCGGCGTGAAGTGCACACAGCTGCTTCGTACACGGTTGCCCGATTTTTGGGACGAGAAACTTCGTAAAAATTGAAGAGCGTTGCCACAGAGTGACGGAAAAGTACAACAGGCAACGTTTCGGCCACGGCTGGAAAGTGCTTTCTCACGAATTCACGTTGTCTCGTCACTGAATTCGTGCGAATCAGCGAAATTGAAACGACGCGTCCGGCAGTTTTCTCTGATTGGAGAATTTTTCTCGGTTTTTGTGAGGCACGTGTGGCGTAGAAGTCGCGGAACAAACGGCGAATCCTCGTTGATTAAAATGTGAGTGACACGAGTCAAGTCGACTCAAAATTGGGCTGCATTTTACAGTTGGGAACTGCATTTCCTGGCTTATCTATAAAATCACGTATCTGCCCATGAAAACTAATGACATTTATGCTGCTTCTCAAATGAACTAAGCAGGAGGGTTTCTCACTTTTAAATCTATTTCCTCAATAACTACCCAAGACACAATTAAAATCAGGAAAAATACTGCAAACGTAGCTCAAGAAGGAACCAAAAATTTCTTAAATTCTCCATTACAAAATGAAGTCCAATTACAGGGTGTTTGTTTGGTTTTTTTTTTTTTCATTTTGGGAAATCCTGACGAAATCCTGATTTTTCCTGATTTTTGACCGCTTTATCCTGATTTCATATTTTTTCCAAATCCTGATAAAATGCTGACTTTTTGCGGAGAAAAATTAACGGAAGGATAGCGGATAGTTAACGGAAAATAAGCGGAGGGCCGACTTTTCTCAACTTCTGATCACACAACCGATTTTTCTTCAAATCCTAATGAAATCTGGATTATATCCTGATAGACCTCAAATCCTGATAGAATCGGGAAAATCCTGATGCTAGACACCCTGAATTAATTCAAACGGAGCTCCTTCTTCGTAAGACAGCGATTCATAGGCATCGGCACAAAAACATAAAAAAATCAATTTTCCCCACGCACAATCTCTAATAGCTGAATTCAAAGTTAGAATGATGAAAGCAAGATTGCGTTCCGAGTCTGATCGGTCGGATAGCGGTGTCGCTATCTAACCTTTGATCGTTTCTTAATTTTCGCTCGNAATCAAAGTCTTTCGCATTGACCTCTGCCGAAGGTATGTATCTATACAATTTCATTAGTTTGCGAAAGTAAAATGTATTAAAGTATCTACACAAATAAATAAATCATAGATAAACAAAGAACATTGCATGGAATAACATACTATAGAGGTACGATCGTGGACCGCTGCGGCGTTAGTTCACCGCACCCTCTGCCAGGTTCGCTGCGAGCGCGCGTTAACGGTTTTTAACACAGGGTAGTATAGGGAGTTGGGAGTCCTTATTTATTCTATTGGTCCATGGCCCGTCGCCGTGTATTCGCCGTCGACGCGAACTTTTGCTTTTGTTCGCTCCTCGGAGTGGGGTTAAAAGTTTCCGAGCTTCGAGCTGCTATAATGTATTCAAATGAGGAGCAGCGTAGTAAACGGAGGATCAAGGTTCATAGGGATCATCTTGACCGGTGGAACCGGCCGGTTATCCAACGCGTCGAGAGAGAACCGTAGAGTTAGTTGCGGTCCGCAATGTGACGTCGACGTAGTCATCCGACTCCCATTATTAATTAATAGCATTAAGCTGAATCGATGGCGAAAGTACGCTGTTATCCGGATTAATTGGTGCTGGACCCATCGGTATAAAGAAAAAAATCTGGATGATAGACAGAGACAACGGGCTCAATTGAACTGGTTATTTGAAGAAGGGCGTAACTGCTAGTTTTCGATTGAGTATTATTCTTTGAGGGTGCACTTTCTAGTTTCACCGTCGATATACACTATGTAGAACATAGCATACTTTTTTCGAACAGATATGTGAAGAATTATGGAGGAAATCATGGAAAAGTCTTACCTTTTTTCTTTTTGGTAAATCATCGAATTCGTCATCGAGGACGATGCCTTCATCAAGGCTGGAACTTTGCGGGGGAGTCCAGGCGTTCTGTTCTCCCTCGCTCAGAGGCGGGGATGGGGTCGCACTTCGCCATGAGAACCCATCGCTGTGACTTGGGCTCGGCGACAGAGGCTCCCAACCCATTCCTGAAACAAAACAAATCAACGTTCACGTTAAAAGATTATTCACTTTTAGTGGGACGGACTAGCATAAAAATCGTGTATTTCTGGATACTAGCATGAGACTTTCAGGAAGTCTTCTATACCAACAAATTTAGCCCGGGTGCCCATTTTTGTAATATTTACCCCCAGGGAGGTAAAGGGTGAGGGGGAGGGCCTAAAATCATAAAATTCAGGTTTTATGTAAGAATTTTCGTGCACAAGTGGATATAACTGACTAAATTTGCGGAATTTACCACTTAAAGGCCACTTCAATACATGCTGGAAGGGTTTCAGCCACTAATCACCCAATTTTTGACAGTAAAGATGGGCCCAAAAACGACCCTGTATCGATACCTCCAAAAGAAGAGAACAATTGCGACCAATTTTCTAAGTATCCACTGTCATCAGGTTTCATTACCCTCCGGATTCCCCAGTTTTTATAAAAACAGAT